CTCTTCGATTAGAGCGGAAGGAATTTTTCTTGTAATATAGGTGGTAATGGTATTCTTTAATGAGAGAAGCAGTAGCTTAAGTTCGTTCCTGCATTTAACAGCCAGTCTCTCTCTCTCATGTCCTTCCTTCCTGTGTAGTGCTCTGCTAATAATCGTATCAGTGGGTTAATGTTAAAGAAATAAAGCCAAAATGAGCGTTTATCTTTAGATGACGAGTGGATGTGGATTTCCGTAGATCGATCGGTCCGTATTCCCCTTGTTCCGCTGCAGGGGTCAAATTACCTCGTTAGCAGTTTCGAGCTGTGTGTCACTGGCGCGGTACGAACAGTTATTTTTTAAAGCTCTTTCTTTTCGCAGTCGTGTGATTACAGGCTCTCAATGTTTTGCTCAGTGTCAACAGGACATTTTTTGATGCTATTCTTCCGCATATTAAAGTGTTTGCCAGAACAACCCCGAAACAGAAGGTAAGGAATACGCTCCACGACTTCTCGACAGTCAGCTGTAGAGCTTTGTGTGGTTTTCTATTGTTTAAAGGTTGTTGTTTAAAGTGTGGGCCCTTGTCTTTTTTTCAAACTGTAGCCAGAATGTTTATTTGTAGTTGTAATGGAACGTAATTGACACTCTTCTCAGGAAAAAATTATTTTCTAGTTTTCCATGATTACGTTTAATAATGAAGCAGTAGATTTTATAAGTTCGACTATCACTGAAAAATCTCTCTTAGAGGCAGTGGAGTTCGTAGAACAGCTTTAACTAATGACTCATTTCTTCCAGATTTGATATTATATCAGGGCTACAATCAGTTGAGATAGATAATTAACCTGTATGTTTGTTTAGCATTATTGTCCTTAAGTCATATTCCAAATAAAATCTTTCATCTTTCTACCAACTGCGATTCCTCCTATCAATAAATCTGAGGATTTCTCAGTGATTATACTGTTCTCCCTGAATCACCATAAACAATGACAATCAATTTTGCATTTTGCAGTTTTCCTGTTAACGTTTTTTAAACTACTCAGCGGAAAAATCTTTTTCAACATTGCGACATATTGTTTTCAGGAGCTGGTGATCAACAACCTAAAGCTTAATGGATTTGTAACATTGATGTGTGGCGATGGGACCAACGACGTTGGCGCGCTGAAGCATGCCGACGTTGGTAAGCTTGTAATGCAGCTAACGGTTGGGTAGCATTGATGTTGTTCACTGAAGTACTGCTAATTTTTATGTTGATATATGTCGCCATAACCAGCTAATTATTTATAAGTTAAGTTAGTAACTGATATTTTAATTCGTATCTAAATTAAAAGTATAACGAGGTTTTAAGCGCATGTATAAATTTCTGCTGCTAATTTTTAGATGTTTTCAGTCAGTCGGAGATCATCATAATTTTGCAGCTAAATTCACTCTGACAATTATTATGCTATTAAGCAGCTGTAGAGTTAATTATTATTCAGAAACAGTTGTATAGTCTTTATTAAGAATACTGTTTTTCCGCTTTATTTGTTGCAGTAAGTACATAAAGGTGTTTTAGGGGTGGCACTTTTGTCCCATCCATTGCCGGCTTCTAAAAGTAAGGCTGCCACATCTGAAGGACGTCATCGTCGTCACATCAATGCGTCTAGCGATGATCGGAAGCGTAAGGACCACATAAAATCAGCCGGCAGTCACCCTCACCGAATTAACAATGCAGCCGCTTTCCAGAAAATTAAAAACGCTAGTTCCTCCTTAGAACCACGTGTTTCAGAGACCAGCAAAGTAGGGAGTAAAATCTGTACAGTTCGGGTGGCAACAAGTTAGTGCACTTGTGTTTCTTTCAGAAGCTAGAAAAGTTGCTGAAAGAAATGGAAGAAAGCGAAGATGTCCAAGTTCGACTTGGCGACGCCTCTGTCGCTGCTCCTTTCACTTCCAAGTATTCGTCGATCTCGTCCAGTACGTAATTTTCTTTTTCATTTGTATATTTTTCCTGTTTATTTCATGAATTACACAATTCTAGCATTAATAGCTGTTTGTAACTGTAACGGATTTCTCGATACATGGTACAGGGCAAGGAACAAAACAAATGTTACAACTCATACTTTCTACACGTTTTGCTGTCATGCTGATAACATTGGCGGTACAAGGGTACTGGTCTAAATATCTAAATGTATGGGCCGATGTTTAGGCCTTTGCAAAGCGACTTGTCAATTCATTGTAAAGCGTGCCAAGAAACTTGGTGACAAGGTCCTCACCGATGGTGAACACCTTCACAGGACACAGCGCCCTGTATACTGAGTCATCAAGGAACACACAGCAAATTGACGATCGTCTGGTTTAAGATTGATGCTTTCAGGCGGTCCGTACGTTTTATCTTTCTCTCCAAAATCGACTACAAGGGTGAAATCCGCCTTTTCGAACGGAACATGTCTACGATACAGTACCACGAAATAGAATAGCCTTTTATAAGTGAAAAAAATTATTGTCTTGGTCTTTGAAGTTGTATGCATAGTCATATTGTTTGCAATATTGATCGTTGCTAAAAAAAAGTCTCTGTTCATTAATACATTCAAGTAAATTCGCTACTGCTACTAATATGACAACGAGTTTCAGCATCTGCTACGTTTGGTAATCTTAACCGTTCATCCACAAATTCGTTACAGTTCCAGCAGTGACGTCAGAATCGATAACATGCATTAATGCATTAAAAGTTTTTTCTCTTTTAGTCTGTCACATCATTAAACAAGGTCGATGTACGCTTGTCACGACGCTGCAGATGTTCAAAATTTTGGCCCTGAACGCACTCATTCTGGCCTACAGTCAAAGTGTACTTTATTTGGACGGAGTGAAGTTCTCTGACACTCAAGCGACCGTACAGGGTCTTCTTTTGGCCGCTTGCTTTTTCTTCATATCTCGATCGAAGGTACCTGATTTGGGAAGTACGGTTTTTCTTTACGCAAATGTGAGGTTTTTGACATTTAGCCGCTCAAATCTTTGGCCAAACAGCGACCGCTGTCTAATATATTCAATATCTACACGCTTGCCACTATATCGACCCAGTTCCTTGTTCACTTTTTTGTGTTGGTCTATTTGGTTCAACAAGCGCATGAACTGGACATATTACAGTGAGACAAATTCGTTGGCTTTCTATTTCTGCTAGATCATTGTCAGTTTTAAGTGAAACCGAAAAGGTAGATCTGGACGCGAAGTTCAAACCCAGCCTTATTAACACCACTGTGTATGTCGTATCTGTCATACTGCAAACTTCTACCTTCGCTGTCAACTATCACGTAAGTTTTGAAAGTGAACCAGTTCGTATGTACAGTGAAATACAGTGATGATACAAGCTGAACTTAAGGTTCAGTTTTAAAATACCGATATTCATCGGTCCCTAGCAATATAGTGTTCATAAAAGACATAATTCAAAAACAAGACAGTGCATTGCCAGTCATAAAATTAGATACTAATTCAATATGAAGTTCGTTGGCAGCCTTCCTTCGATATATAATCAAAGTATAAAAATATAAAAATATTTTATTCGCCATAGTTGCCCAATGATAATTCCCGTTTTCATCGTCATCGGCTTTACATAGTGAAGCTATCTGTATTTGCAGTGTATGCGTGAGGTACGAAATGTAATTTACAGGTGCAATTCAGTGTAAGGTTCTGATACAGTAAAATGTTTCGAATTCAAGACCGTCATAGCAATCACTACCATGATTATTGGCGAAGTTAGTGACGTTATAAACTTTTATCCACTGCTTTTGGCGTATGATTCATTTAGTGCCTCTATCCACTGATTATCAACGGCTTTTATCCCTATTTCTGTTCTCTTTAAACCGAGTTCACCTAGACTGAAGATAAAATCGGTTCATATAGTGGCAATATTGCAATCTGCGGTAGATGACTAATAGGAAGAATTTACTTCATTAATATAATTAAAAACCAGTCAGTATGTGAAAATATACCGTGGTAAACTTGAGGCATCAAACAGCTTCGTCGTGATCAATGTATCACTCTCAGACTGATAAAATTTCATTCAGCGGTTTAAGTAATATGCATCAAAGCAAGCTGTCCTCTAACCTATGAATCAGTATAATGTGACTGTGGACTATAATATGCAAAATGACGGCATTTTCTTGAAACATATCCAGGTACTAATCAGCGATCAGTGACGCAGACAAACCTTGAGTTTGCTTATGACATATTTTGCTGAATAACTCGGAGGACTTTACTGACACGCAGAGAAAACACTTTCAGTCTTGCCGTGTCACCTTTAGCGGGATTTAATTTGAAACTACATGCTGTAGAGGCGCCTGTCTTGAATGAGAGTTGGAGAATGATCTAGCCATAAAAGTTATCGAATTCTGGAAGGTGCTTAATTCAGTTTTCTAAAGTGCCAGAAATGAATTCACTCACGGTTGAAATATTGATTTATGGAAAAACAGAGCAACTTCAGTAGAAACGAAGGTCGTTCGTGATGTTGAAGTCAGGCTTATTCGCCATGGTCATGTGCGGTTTAGAAACATTCGTTGTTGCTGTGAAACTAGACTCGATGGTTTCTAGCAACGTTGTCCGCAATGCATCCTCAAAATCTGATGGAATGCCTGAATCTTGCAGTAACTGTTCTCAAGTAAACTCAAAGATCTGTACCCGTTTTTAATAAAGCAGCTCAAAAATGAAAATTGAGTTCGTTCAATACATTTTATCTTATGCGAATAGTTATACACTTTAGAGGATAGTACAGAAAGACTAAATATCTTATAGAAGCAGACCTACTCATGGTGAGGAATGGAATTGTGAGACTCAGTTTTAAACTACTCAGACATGACTGTTCTGCTGTTCAAGTATTGTTTGCCTCAAGTGTTTAGACATCGACAGTATGAGAGAATTTTTAAAAAAAATCCATTTCGCCTAACGGAAAATATAATTATTATATAATGTTTAAGATGGCCTATTTACGTTACCACTTGTAAACTGTACTAAATTGTTAAGCCAAAAACGAAAAAATTTAACCATTGATTCTGAATATGCTTTTGACCTTTGATATCTACAACTAGAATTCTTTGTGATTCGAGATGTAATATGTTTAAAAAATTAGAATAAAATATTTGAATAGATCTTTCATTTTAGGGTCGACCATTCATGGAAAGCATAACGGAAAATAAAGGTCTTCTCTACAGCTTGGCGCTTCCATCGGTGATGGTCGGCGTGTTAGCGGCAGGACTTATGCCAGAGATGACAGTGAAGTTTGAGCTTGTCTCCTTACCTGCTGAAGTAAGAGATAGGTTTCATTTGTGGTCATTTGTTATTCTCGTTGCTATGGTTTTCATAGTTATTCCGTCAGCATATCAAAAATTTGACAGGAATCAGACAGATGCGATATAAGTTGAGTTTATTCCTCATGTTCTTATCTCCTTTTATGTCATTCTCTATGGGGAAGGCAAGCAACCTGAGTAATATATGAAGTTCACGACAAAGAAATTTATGCGCGATTAATCGCTTGTCTTTTCCGCCAACTGTGCTCGCAGAGGAGAGATGATTTCCTGTACTGTTTTATGATTTAAGGCAATTATTTACTCGTTTTTGAGTAATTCTTAAAAAGTTTTGGCAACGCGAATAAGAAGATATAAAATTAATTTTGTAAATAAAAATTTTCTTGTTTTCTGTGCTGGCAACCGTGAAATCAGAATGCCTATCTGCAAAATATTCCCTGTCTCTTCTCCGAATATTTCATTGATGATGATCGCTTTGCCCCTTTGCTCTTAGTTGCCTATCGAACAGATTGAGCAGACCACCGCACCATGGCATTTCAGCACCACATATATCAAGTTCTCTGGTTGATTTCTTGGGAAGCAGCTGTGAATCTACTGCTCTCTCGAAAATGAGTCGCGCAGCCAGCGGTTCTTGCTCATACCCTAATGGTCAGC